CTGAATTCCACCCCTAGGCATATACCGAAATACAAATTTTTACCAAAAGACATGGAGAACAATATTTACAGCAGCATTTATCTTAACAGCCCAAAACTGGAAACACCTCAAACGTCCATTAAGAATAGAAATGCAAATCGAAACTACAGTAAGGTACCAACTCACACTGGTTAGAGTGGCCATCATTTAAAAGTTTACAAATAACAAATGCTGGAGAGGGTGTGAAGAAAAGGGAACCCTCCTACACTGTTGGTGAGAATGTAAATTGATGCAGCCACTATGGAGGACAGTATGGAGATTCCTTTAAAAACTAAAAATAGACTTACCATATAATCTAGCCATCCCACTCCTGGACATACATCTGGAGAAAATTCTAATTCACACCCCAATGTTCATAGCAGTACTATTTACAATAGCCAAGACATGGAAGCAACCTAAATGTCATTGACAGATGAATGGATTAAGAAGATATGGTATATATACAATGAAATACTATTTAGCCACAAAAAAGAATGAGATACTGCCATTTGCAGCAATATGGATGAACCTAGAGATTATCCTGCTGAGTGAAGTAAGTCATAAAGGGGAAGACAAACATATGATATCACTTATATGTGGAATCTAAAATATGATACAAATGTTATTTACAAAACAGAAACAGACTCAGACAGAAAAATATATGGTTACTGGGGGGCAGGAGGGTGGGGGAAGGATAAATTAGGAGTTGGGGATTAGTAGACACAAACTACTATATATAAAATAAACAACAAGGTCCTACTGTATAGCACAGGGAATTATATTCAATATTCTATAATACACCATAATGGAAAAGAATATGAAAGAGAATGTATATACATGTATAGATAACTGAATCACTTTGCTGTACACCAGAAACTAACACAACATTTTAAATCACCTATATTTCAATGTTTTAAAAAAGAGTAAAATAGATAAATAATTTGTGGTATAAATATATGGTAGAAGACTATACAGGGATGAGAATGAATGAAATACAACTATGTACACCATGGATGGATCAAACAAACACCCTAAGTGAAGAAGCCAGGCACAGGAGAGCATACACCACAGGATTCCA